TTGTATAAATCCTATGTCCTCAGATTACGTTAAAAAGATTCTAAATTTCTATGTAGCTACATTATTGATTTGAGAGATGCTGTGTGTCATGAAATTGAATTGTTCAGATCTTGTATTTCTTTATTTATAGAAACACAAATGTATGTAAATACGATAATTGATTTTTGTATGGTTTTAAAATACCTAAAGAAGTTAATGATGATGGCATCATTCAAATTATTTTCTGTGAAAGTGCGCTGACGTTTCTTTGCAAGATCGGCATTTGGTGTGTGTTTTTTGCCGTCCTTAACCATTTAGCCGGAGTCGAATAAGTGGCACCCGCTGAACCATTAGCCGAGAACGTTGTCCATTTGGCTCGGGCGGCGCAACGTCAGCAGTCTGTCCTATCTCCCTCCGCGGACATGGGCCGGTTGCGGTCGCTTCCACCACCGTCTAGATCGCCGCCACCGCCGCTACGCTACCACCGCCATCACCCTTCCCTTCATTATCATATCTCGCACTTGCGAAAAACTGCCTCTTCATTCCCCGAATTAATCAACACCTAATAATACACTTTATCTCGGCATAGTTTTTATTGATCTCCATCACATCACATCCCCGTGATGTGAGAATCAAATTTTAATATTATTGGCGCGCGGTTTCGTGCTTACAACTGCATACGTAACTAGACAGCGGGCGAAGCAGTATGTGAGGGTAAAGGTATATAAACAGTAGTTATGATAAATATGCACGACGAAGCGTGGTGCTCGGTGCGGCACCGGCATTATGGTGGAAGACAAATATTTGGCCTCGGTCGCGTTGGGAACCGCCATTGTCATAACATAAGACAATACGAATGCTGTATCTCATTTTTCATCTGGCCGATCTTTATAATCTGTATTTGCATCAGCTTGTAGCGATCTAATAATAACTCTGGGGAGCGGGTGAACGGGCGGGCGAAACGCCGTCCACATCGCTCCGAGATACAACGAGATTCTTCAATTAAAACTTATGTTTATTTAGTATTCGGGAAGCGGGCGCGAGCGAGCGCAATGAGAAATGTTTAACCGAAATAATAAGAGACAGTGACCGGAAGAGGCGGCATTGCCCGCATACAATCACGATCATCTCCCACACCACACCACTTCTTACAACCATACCCCAAACACCCAGGTACGAATAAAAAAATCTATTCTCAAATTTATATACTCGAGTCCATAAAGTAAACATCAAATACTGATACACACTAGAGACTGTCATAATCTCTCAAGTCCAGTCACTTCACTGAACGGAGGGATGGATTGATTCTTTAGATTTGCACCCTTCACTAATCATCAAAAAATTGCCACTCATTGAGGACATTTGACATTGTTATTAGTTGTAGGTATGGGCCGGTTATCGATACAAATAGCATGAGTCGCGCGAAGATCCTGTCGCCAAGATAGAAAGATTGGAGGTTAGAGATAGAGAGTCAGCAGCTTAGGATCGAATTGAAGCGGTAAAGCGTTGGCTGCGGCGGTCAGTGAACGGCCGTTAGTGGTGATTGCCGTTCTTCGTCACCCGTCACTGCCTAAGATTACCTCCGTCTTACCATAACACGGCTTTTAGCTGTGGAAAAAAGATAAAGAAAAAGTACGCCAATAAAACAAGAGGGTTAGCTGCTAACGCCGACACCACATCCTGCAAAAACTTTTAAGATTTTCATCTGATTAATACCTGATATCGGGAAACGTCAATAAGCAGCAATCATCAATTTCAAACGATCGGATCACTTACTCGTATTAAAATGATACGAATAAAGCAATGACCTAAAAATTTTTTTTCGATCGGACTGCGTTGAAAGAATTAAAGCTTTTGTTTAGTCCGGGCGAATTAAAATGGCCGCTTTCTCCACCGTGGTTTATTTCTATAACAAAAAGACAATAAGAGCGTCGACTGACAGCAGTATTTGTTTTACAGATGGATCTCGAAACCCAAACACAAACAAGCCGGGTGGAGCTGCGCGGTTAGGGAAATGTGGCTAATCCGTTTGCGAGAAATAAACGCTACGCTCACTCATTAATGTCCCTCTTCGACGTTCACGATGAAACGATTTTTTTGCATATATCTGTTTTAATCGATTATCGATTTTTTTCCCTTGAAAGAAGGGATTATTTCACGATTTCACGTTTATACCTTATATGTATTATGAAAATGTCTTGTCACTGATGTTCGATGATGGCTTTTACTACTGCAGTCGATGCGCGTCGATCATATATTTTCTAAGCATTAAGAACTGACACACTTGGTTCGGTCATGCAGAAAACTTTGCAGCTGTTTTAGGGGAGTAAAATATAATAGCGTTTTGCGTATCAGTCAGTTTTTCTTCGTGCAAAATTATAGGAAGTCACTAGCGATAACCATCGTATTGCAAAAATAAAAAATTCGAAAGTCATATTCCGTTTATGAGTAAGGTATTGGGTAATTATAAAATTTTTATTGATTAGTGGCTGTGCGAGAGGAGCGATGAGACCCGTAGTGTACTTTAGCAAAAGAGTGCACGAGACTGTAAAAGCAATTAATAGGGTATTGTTTACCGAAAGTGTGGCAGATTCGATATGCGACGCTTCCTCAGTAGAAGGGGCAGCGCGAGCTTGTAAAACAGAGCAGTGGGCTTCACAAGCCCAACACCCAACAGCCAAACTTAAGGAAAGAGAAGAGAGACTATTTGCCGGAACGGATGTATAAATATTCCCGGAATTGGGAGTTTAACTCGTGCATCCATTTATCTAGATAACGGAAATCCAGTGCACGCATTAATAGTCCCGGTATCTGGAACAGCATTACATCTCACTTAGACGCCGAGCTGTTACACTATCGGAGAGCCTTTAAGCTTGCGATCTGCGATTGGATTGTCGTTAAAGAAGGCAACATAGGCCCCTGCTGTTGTATAGAAGCATTATAAGCGATGTACCGATGGCCGACTGTATAGTGTAAACTCGTACTCGTTCGTATAGTATACCTCGTCGAGGTGTTTACACCGGCCGCAGAGAGCCGGTCCGGGGAGTGGCTTGCTATTTCAAGCAGAATAAACACATGGCTGTTTTCTTTGTTCCGGCAAACTAAACAACCATCCTGGAATCCAAACAGGCCGGCCAGTCCCAAATTCAATTTAGTCTTTGCATGCGGCTATATCGCAAAACGTCAACATCGCATCTATTGAGCAACTTACGGAAAGCCACCTCAAAGCTGGAAACTGCTGGACCTCATCACGCTGCTAACGGTTATACGTACCCACCTTTCCCTAACCAAACTTATTATTAAGTAAATGTTGGACCACATCAACCAATACGATAAATTTCTTTTACGAAATTATTCTTTATCAAGGAAAAAAAACAAGGAGACAGAAAATTTGATTGATAAATTAATTGATTCATGCTAATGTAAGATATAACTCTTAACGCTACACGATAAATAACACAGCTTTATAAACATTTGGATCAAAAATAAATATCTGAAGATTTTTCAACTCACAGAAAACAGTGGAATGCGAATGATTATTTTATGGGAACACTTTTTGAAAATTGAATAAAGAAATATAGGAAAAGAAAACAGAAAGGGTCAAAAATGCAACGTGTTCAAAATTATTTGCTTACTTCCATTCAAAGTGGATTACGAAGGATAAAAGTTGGGGGAAAGTAAGTATATGAAGAAAACTTATCGACGGGAAATTTTATTTCTAAGAGAAATAGCGCATCTAATTATATTGTTTCTTTCCTTGTGTATACAGGGTGAGTCATTAGTGCGGCGTCCAGGAAATTAACTTTGTTACTCAAAGTACGAATATTATCTATGAATTTGCTAAATCTACATCGAAAAATGCAAAAGGTTTACATTTTTATTTTCCAAATGGAAATTTACATATTTTCCACGTGTTTAAACTTAAATTCTTGCAGCACCTTAATTATTAACAATAGAAAAGTACAATTTTTGCTTTTGTGTACCGATCAAACACTCAGAAACGTAAATATATTGTATTTTTCTCAAGACACGAAAACTTTCAGATTTACACCTTATTTTGATTTTTAGTAAATATGGTGAGTATCCCGAAGGCTCACCGTGTATAAATGCAAAAGTAAAGTTTTTAAAAACTAGAAGAAATAAGAGGGTAAGTCAGCATTCGCCGATGTTCTCTTCGCACAATACTTTAATGCACTCACTTTCCCCGGTATACGATCGATAACATATTGCATTTTCAACGTGGCAATTTACAACATATGCTGTATCGTGGCTTTTTATGAATTGCTTGAAATAGTTTTTGAGCCATTATATCGTTTCTGAGATTCTCCAAATAACATTTATTCGATTGAGTTGGAAGTTTCTGTTTTCAATTTCAACCCCAATGGTAAGTCTACGGGAGAGGAAGTTCACAGAATTCACATTAAATTATATTTAAAACCGTTTTTTAATTTCGACATTAAGAAGTTAAGGTGCAAAGTGAACAGAAGGCACCTGGCATTTGTTAAAGTCTTTAATTAAAGTGGGAGCCGAAAACAAAGAATGCAAAATTAGCCTCATTTCTAATTATACTGCGCAAATATCTTAATTTCGAACAAGGAAAAACTTTATCGAACACATCTATCAAGTGGAAAGCTCTCGTTTAATTTATTGCAGAAGGAAACTGCTAACAAAGTATAAAGTACAGTCAGCAGTCATACACGGCATCAAAATAGAATACTCGATTCCTATCGGAGACATCTGGCCCAAACTCTTTCAATTAAGATGAAAAATCCGAGTGCATTAGTAAGGGGTGATACTAAAAAGAGGGGGCAACCCACAGGTCTTGATTAGAAAGGACAACGCGCCGCTGTCTCCAATCTTCAATTTCATGCTTCCAAACAGGATACCGATATTTAATATTCGAACTTTAATGCTTTTAATGATTGCGTTTAAACCAATCGATTTACTTAAACTGCGTACGCACAAGTGTAGACCACAACACTTTGATTGATTAATTAATGTCACAGAGTCATATTTCTTACCTGTTCAGCGTCTTCATTATGGACGCTATCGTTTGGAGTGGTTGCCGCCGATGGTCTTTGCGATGTAGAAAGGTTAATCGCACCATCTCCATCTACGTCTTGGTCCATTGTGCCATCATCCTAAAACAAAATATTTCAATGAGTCGAAATACATCTGATTATATTTTTCCGCTTCAGATTCGCAGTAACGAATATCATTTTATAGGGCGTTATGCCAACACGCACGAATTGTAAAATCCCGCTGGGCAAGACACCTAACTTGATTTTATCGGTCTCAAGACACTCGTCCATTTGGGATAAAAGTCCTCGGCGTCATTTACAATCCCCGTTCTAACTCTTACTTTTTATTACCAACTACTGCTATACTTTCAAAAATGTACCTACGTATTGCGTTTTTCAATTTTTAAAATATACGTGTATGTAGCAAAGTTATTTGAATGAAAGTGATAAGGTGCTAACATGCAATTGCCCCTTGTGGTCATTTATTCAGTTTAGAGGATAATCTGGATAATAGGTTGGAGTTATCTTCTACGCGCTACTGGTTTATACGAGGTAAATTGCAGTCGTTTTAGAAAAGACATGGGTTATATTGATAAGCTCTTCGAGTATCCGATATTTTTTTTTTTGGAATTGGTATGGAATACATCAACACGAATCATACACCTGCTTTACGCCACTGATGCTTCGGAAATGTATTATGGAAGGCTGGTAAATTTTTTGCCAACTGAAAGATTGGAATTGAGTGGAGGCGCGATCACGTTATCAAGATACAAACAGCTCGTGCAGTAAAGCACCCTCATTTCTCAAAACATCCACAATAGTGGCTCAAGTTGATTATCGGAACTTTTCTCTATTCACATAGTGACTCTTGACGTCCAATAAAGTAGATGACCTATTGAGTAGCTGCCTAAGCTCTTATTTACAATTTCAAATGGAACGAATAGAGTGGTCAGCGATAGGGTGTGAGAAAAGGGGGAGCTACCGAATGCAGTAAATGACTACGTCCATGACATTTTCGCATATTAGTTCCCCGTTCTTGTACATTTATTTTGTTATATCTGAAGGGTGATGTAAATCATTTGATTTGTCAAGCTGTTTAATAATAACATAAACTTGTATAGTATTGATTAAGTAAGGGTAAGAAATAAGGAGTCTGTGTAGCCTCTAGCAAGGTAATCTCTGCCATGGCCTACTGCCTACTTCATTTGTTTGTCATGAATAATATAACTGCAGTTTGTTAGACCCTTCTCATTCCAGATCACCACATTTTCTCCGCGGACACACAACATAATCACAGCTAAATGAGATTTAAAAATTCTCATATTCTAAAGCTCAAAAATAAAGGTAATACCCAAAAAACTTTATAAATTTAAATTATTCGGAGTTAATTATAAGCAAATTGATGAATATTGGATTGAAGGCTCACAATATTACATTACGCTTAAGTAAACACCGTTATAATTTAAAAACTGCTTCTGAAAAATAAAATTTTCAGGAGATATTCTGCATACGAAAATCTAGGTAGACCTCTATCAAGATCGAGTCGAGGGGAGAAAACCTAAATTAGGGGATGATAGTATGATTACGACATTTTTTACTGAAAAATAACGCTAGCTTTTCTTTTAAAAATATTGCCCACGTGACTTGACTTAATAAACAATTCAATGTATTTTCAAAGTATCGATTTTCAAATTTTATGCTGTGTCATATTTGTATTTAGTTATCTGTTAATTTCTGGAACACATCGAGGTAATTAAACATAAAAAAAGACTAACGTGAAATATGGATAACATATTGGTGAGTTGAGTGTAGAATCCCACAACCAACAAACTTTAATAAGAATTTCGAATGTTGGAGGGTGAAATTAAAGAAAAAAATTGTGATACTGAGATAGCATCGGTCGACTGATTCGATATTCTTATCAGGAACTGGGAATTACAAATTAGAATGCAACCGGCATTGATTTGGGGGAAACCATTTATCGAAACGTTGAAATAACATTATAGGAGGTAATTCGTGGAGGAGGGTGTTAAGTGTGTCAAACGTATGTTGAACCTAATTAGTTTCAACAATTGTTTTAGAAATGTAAGGATGATGCCTCTGATTTAATTTCTAATTTCTGTTTATGTGTGTCCAGATGTGTGTTGGTGTTGACGTGTGAAGGCTGGGCCTTGCATTTGTGGCGGTGTCTGAGTGCAGTGCGATGGTTAGCCTCGCGAGTTGGGCTGGCCAAGCGAAGCGCCCGCGCCCGCGCCTAACCAAGATGCAAGATCGCATCATCTGAAAAGTTTTTATTTTGTTATTTTCTAGACAAGAAATAGAATAAAATGAGTAGTTGTATTGGGGGCCGCGCCCGTCGAACTCGGATTCGCGGCTGGGCGGGACGATGAATTTCTCGTACCAACCAGGTGGCGACTGCGCGATCTTCACCACGCCCTCGGTACTCCTGCAGCGGTCAGCAACAACAACTCTGGACGCGCGGACTTTCTAATTCACGTGTAACCAAGTCAAACACAAAAGCTCGCGACATCCACGACCTAATCCTGACAATTACTATAGCGACTTCTGCCTTTCCAGATAGCTGCTCACCGAACTTTCGCAAGCTTTACATGTTTTTGTGAATGTTGTTATACACAAATATTTCTAAATCGATACTAATCTCTCATCAGTAAGTAAACCACTCAGACTTATTCACAAACCCTTAATTAGGTCTTTAGCATTGACACTCTTGGCTACACTCCGATTATACATTCAAGTGGTAAAACTCGTAAAAACCGTATGTCGCATCTTTGGCTTTCTTTATCGATTTTGTCCAATGTAATGTGTGATAATTTTTTTGTACATACGATACAGTATCGTCATTTTGTATAAATTTAGTATAAATAGATGGCGATTCGATATCTCAAAAGTAGTAAAAACTGACAGTTTATTACCCCCATAAAAAGATATTTGTTGTTTTAAGGTGTGTAACATATAAACGACATACACTTGTGCCTATACTTATTTTATTAAATAAAAATATTCATTTATGTTGTGTGTCCAAACTTACACTACAAGGATTTAAATGCCACACTTTTCGTGATGTGTTGTAAGGGGCAATTGTACCAGAAAACTCATATAGCATTTTTACAACTAACCCCTCAGAAAATATTAACAAAGGACATTGTTTTATCTTATGGACGAGTTCGGTCCAGTCCTTATTTCCGAACACAATCCGGTAGAAACAATAATGGTATTTTTATGGTGGCAGCTGCCCCAAATAACGATTCAAAAACTGTAATATCATCGTTGTTTACGAAAGTAAGTATAGAAAAGGATAACCTAAATGCAGCTAGTCATCTTGAAATGCATTAAGAACGTAAACAAACCCATCAATACAGTATTTATTTTTTATTTTCCATGCAGCTTAATAGAATGAATGATGATTATGAAGAGCAGCTATTATGGGCCAAATTCTGAAAAACATCTTCTCACAAGAAAATTTTAATAACATTTTACCGGAGTTTTCCCAAAATATCTCAACATTATCATTACTCACTCTACGATCTTTATTATTTACAAATAAGAAAAATGCAAGGAATCACCCCTAACAGAGCCAATTATGTAATAAAACTGTTAAAAGGCGTTTTTATGTTGTTGCTATATCAAAACTAATGAAATTGCCAGATTTTGGGTTTTAACAACTTTAAAAAATTCAAGAATCGACCCCTATTCCAATGATTTAGATTTGCAGAAATAGACACAATTGACATATTTTTTGTAGCACATGTGTTCCACACATATTGTTTCGTTTTATTGTTTTGTTAAGATTTCACATTTCACATTTTAATTATATTATTTGTGTTGTCTAATGTGAATTTTCAAAGAAGTGCGTCTTTACTAAGTACAAAAGCCTCTAGTGACCTGTGAAATCGCAATCAAATCAGAAGTGAACAGCACAGATGGGGAAATGGTGGTGCGCCGAGGGTTTTGGTGATTTCTTAAAGCTTTTGTCTCGTCCTTAGCCTTTAAAAGAGGATTTAAAAGTGATAATTAAAAACTCTTCCTTGTCAAAGTGCAAGCTTCATTATTTCAAAAATTAACTCTAATCGATAATTGTCTTTGTTAAAGTCAAAGCGGAATGATGGTTTCTGTATACCTAGTATTTCTGAAATATTGAACAAAGGTAATCAAGTTATTCTTGGACACTGTTTTATATTTATCAAAATAATTTTCATAACGTCGCTGTAAATATTTGCCAATTATAATGTAATTCATGTCAAATTTACCTCACTAATTTCCATGTTTCCTACTCGTTTTGACTCAATGCAAAAACTCAAATATTATTAACAACAAACTTTCAATAAAATTGAACTAGTTTTTATAGCAATAGCCAATTAAATATCGAATTAGTTTGTAGTAAATTATTGTCACAAATTATTTTTTCTTTGAGTTTTACTCTATAAACATCACACAACTATATGTTTTCTGATCAAAATTTATTGTGAGTTGAAAGTGATTAAAAAAATTGTGCATTGACCTAATTGAGGTTGCTGATTAAAGAATTTTGATCAATGTATAACAAAAAAATAAAAAGTGTATTGAGACACAATGATTTTTATATTTAAAATTAATTCCCTGAAATAGAATTGTACAAATGGGAATAAGTTAATACAAATTTTGTATGTAAAAGTACAGGGTGATTCAGCTTAAATTACCCACTTGGCAGACAACCTATAATACACAAAGCAATTATTCCTTGATTCACCTTAGAATTTTGAAAGTTTCATGAATCAAAGTTTGCTGTTAGAAAAATATCGGAAGTGTCACTGTCACACGCATATGCAACAATACATTTCAATCAACGGCAATTTTTCGAATAAACGCAATTTTATTTTATAGAAAAGGAATATGTAAATCAAAACTTAGTTATTTCAAAGCCGATGCTCTATGTGGCCACCCGCACTTTGCTCACAAGCCACGATTCTATTCACAAAACACAAAATCAAACATCACTAAACACAACAATATTAATAAAATTTGGATTATTTTCTAATTGTTCCCAAACAAAATAACAAAAATCTAATCTACGAGGGAAGTCATCAATTTTAGCAATTTTACCAGATGCACAATAAATTAAT